GCGGTGCCGGCCCCAGCCTCGGCCCATCTCCTTGTGTCCTCTGGTCCTGCTCCAGCAGCTCCGTGTCCTTGTGTTGGGGGCCCCAGTGCTGAACACAGCACTTCGCTGCTCCATTTTGACCCTTTGTTTTACCTTCAGCAGTTGTAGCATCTAAGGTTTCTTATCTCCAGCTGTGCACAGATGTGGATCATTTTGCCCGGCATGTTCCCAAACAGGGTCTTTTACCTTTTCGGTTCTCCACATACTTCTTGCTGGCTAAAGAGTGACAGAGAAGTTCATCCCGAGGTAGCTGTGTCAGGAGAAGTGATGGGAAATCCAGAACAACGGGAGAGGAGTTTGCCAGGGGACCAGGCAGTGGGGAACACATTCAGTCATCGAAGGCTGCTGGTGCAGGACACTGCAGTTTGCCTTGAAATCAACAGAAGGTTTTGGAGAGGGAAACCAAGAGGGGATTTTGTAGCCACGCCATCACCAGACAAATTAAACTGGGCTCCATTCATCCCACATTTCCCCAGTGGACAAAGGAGCTGTTATTTTTTGCAACTGCAGGCTCTATTACAACAGCATTATCAGAGTCTTCCTCATCCCTGCTGTCACACTCTTCTCAAGCAGATCTTGCAACAAATTCACTCCCAGTTAGCAAGTCCTCCAGCCCTGACAGGATTTTGTGCCGTTGATCCCAAGAGATGGAGCGGTTGATTTTTACTACCACCCTGAAGCTGCTGGGCAGCGGCACAGCTGAAGGTGGCTGCCTGGTGTAACGCAGGGTTTCTACATACCCTCCACGCAGTAGTTAGACAAATATCTTCAGGGTAGAGAACAGAAGCTAAATTCCCACTGGCTCAGGAAATATTTTATTCTTTATATTTTCATTAAAAATAAACATAGGAAACAAAACCACAGAACACTTGTGTGATAGAAACAAACGCAGAAGGTCAGAGCATCGGCTGAAAGTGCATAATTAAGTCATGCTACCACGTCCCTGATCCCACCCTGTCCCCCAAGCACGGAGTCAGCAGTAAGCTCAACGAGCAGCACTACACGGAGCCCAGGCACTGCGGGGGCCAAGCTGACGGCAGAGGAGAGCCCGTGCTTCCAGAAATGCAACACGGCAGGAGACATGCTGAGAGTGCTCCAGGGAGCCAGTGATGAAGGTCTCACCTGGGGGTCGTGGGGCATAGCTAGTGTCAGAGGACAGGGAGTTAAGAGGCAGGGGAATAAACATCTGAGAACAAAGGGCAAAACTGGAATCCTGGATGTCACTCCAAAAAGGCCCTGGAAGCAGAAAAATCCTAGATAAATGGGAAATCAACACAATGAACTTGACTGAAAGGCTGACGTGGGTGCGCTGGACAGAGGGCTGTGCAGGGACGAACCCCAGTTGCTCACCAGCAGGATCTAGAGGGATAGTACCGACTGGGTCCCTACTTTCAGGGCCACAGCAAGGTGACCTCCCCGCAGGGGTGGGAGCAAAGGCACTGCTGCCTCACAGCAAGGCTCCTGCTGCCAGAAAACACAGCACTTTGCAGCTGGGTCTGTCAAGCTTTTTGAGGGAAATATGCAATGAACCTTGCTGAGCCCCCTGATCAGAGCACAAATGCTGCAGACCTGCTTCTACACCTGGCAATGAGCTTTTCCCCCGTCCTCTGCCCCCTGCAGCCTCTGGCTTTTGGGTCTCAGTAGTTGACAGCTTTAATCTGCGACTCCTTTTGTGTGCAGACCTGTGAGGAACCCGCAGACGCAGCTACAGTGCAGGACCCCCTTACACACGCTCACTCGATTCGGCTCTGCGCTGACGTGCGCTTGAGGAGCGTGTTTAAACATTCAGTATGTACAAGATGATTTGAAGCTGGAACAGAAGAGCAGCTGGATTCACCCTCACACAGCCACGTGGCCGAGACCAACCAGAGGACCTGCGTGGTCCTGCAGTGGCTGAAGAGACTGCCTAGTGGTACGTACACGTCCTTGGAAGCATTCACCAGGCTGGCTGATGACAAGGTTGGGGGCATCTCTGCTCTGCTGATAGACTTAGCCACAGGAACAGCAGAGAGTGCAGTTTCTGACCCACTTCACCACCTTTCTCCAGCTTCACACAGAGCCCCCAATTTCAAATGACTGCCGAGATAACACGTTTATGCACATGCTCTAGTCAAAAGCAGCACACAAAGCTGCTGTTCTGGTGCCTATTTCCACAGCATCCACCACTCTCAAGAACAGTCACTGCAAATCATTTGGTACTCTTCCTCCAGCTGAGACTTTTTTGGATGGTCTTCTTTGCAAGTTCCCTCCAGATCACTTCTCCCGAAGGACGCAGACTCCAGCATCACAGCGCTGCATCCCCAGGGAGGTTACCACTTCCCAGTTGTCAATGATGGGATCGTAGCACTCGATGCTGCTCAGCAGTGAGTTGCCATCATATCTGCAAGGACAGAAAGTTACAGGTGAGGGATCTTGCTGAAGGAAGAGTTTGAGCCGTTCACAGCCTTTCCTGGGAGGCTGAACAACTGCCTAAGAAATAAAACCACTGCATTAGGCTCCCTTTTGATGCCTGCTGCCGCTCTCCTGCCTGTCTTGGCCCTGGACCATCACCCTGCCTATTCAGGTTGAGCACCGTGACTCTATGGGCTGTCTCCTCTCATAAAGCTTGAAATATAAACGTGAGGAGAGGCCACCTGAAACAGAGCAGCAGGCAGCACGACCTAAACTCCCTTGTGCCAGCAAACAGACATGCAGGGCACCTCCCTCTCCAGCCCAGGGCAGGCGCTTACCCAGCGATTGCATACAGCCTTCCCCGCAGCACGGTGGCCCCCACGTAGCAGCGGGGGGTTGTCATGCTCGTTACGGTTGTCCAGGAATCAGTGCGAATATTATAGGCTTCCACAGAGGAGAGATGTGCCGTCCCATCAAATCCACCGACTACATAAATGTGGTCATTCAGCAGAGCCACTCCAGCCCCTGCAGAGAAGATGCACAGTTACACCCTGAGCCGCACCGTGAGCGCTGTGCCTGGGGCTGGCTGTCACGAGCCTGAACTAGGTCAGTTCCTCCCTCTTCAGAGGGCATTTTCTTCTGCTTTTGTCTCCCACAAAAGAGCTGTCATAACCCAGCGTCTCCAATAAGATACACAAAAACCTGTAACTCCACCCAGTGCTGCTGAATCTCTGGCATATGGGGACTGAGCAGCACTGGGGCCAGGGCGGCACGAGCAACACGAGATGTTTGCTTTGGCTGAAAGACACCCCGACGTCCTGAACAGACCAGCACAAGGCTTGCTCTGCTGTCAGGTCACTGGCTGGGACTGCCACCACACAGACACGTTTCCCTGGTGTTTCTGGCTCTCTGGTGTCAACCAGCCCTGGGCTGTAGCAAGGAGAGTGACACTGCTGCATGTGAAGCTGGAGAAGAGATTTATTTGACGTTGCTCCTCTGGAAGGCACGGAAATGACAACTGGTGTCTGCTGCACAGTCACAGAGGCTCAAGTGGCTGACACATCCGTCTGAACAGCTGTTCTCACAATAAAAGCAATCAATAATACAGTTGGCCCAAGTGGGAATTTCTGACAACAGCAGAAAATAAACCTCCACCAGCCTCTGTTCCTCATCTGCAGCCCCTTTCAGGTGAAGCCACAAAGAACGCAGTACGATAGCAATGCATTCAGGGGCCCTGGGTGCCCCTGCCAACGGCTCCTGCTGTTTCAAGCTGCACCTCAAGAGCAGAGTAAAGCCTGTCAGGCTGCTTCCATCAACGTGTAACTATTGCACTGATGAATGCCCGAAGGAAAGAAGCCAGCTATCCTGCAGCTCTTGGGCACTGATCTGTTTCTTCTACAAAGAGCGTGTAAGAGACTTTCTGTTCCACTAAACACAAGCTCATTTTCACTGTCTGTCCTTGCTGAGTCCCCAAACCGCCGGGAATGGCCAGGCTGCCCCGATGGCCTTGCTGGCAGCTTCTGTGAGGAAGATTTTGGCTGAGAAGAGAGACTAGACCAAGGCCTGACCAGGGAAGTGGAGGCTAGCGATGCAATATGGGCAAGGCTTCTGAAGGGTGGTCTACCTCCAGAATCTGTCCTAAGAGATGAAGAGAAACAAGGAGGAGACATCTCTGTGCATAAAGGCATGACTAGTTTTAGTCCTGGTCTTGGAATCTTGCAGACAGCTCTGGAAAGA